AAAGATCATCACTGAAAAAATAGGGACAAATGTAGGGGCTCTGATACACTATAAAACATTAACTGACAACTCACAACCAATAGAAGACAAAATAGATGACTAGAACGTCCTAAAAAAAAAAAAAAAAAAAAAAAAAGACACTTAAGTGCATCAAAAGATTTCACTAAAAAAAATTAAACGAGGACCCATGGACTGAGAATAAATTTTTGGCAATGATATACTAGACAAAGGACTACCCTCTAAAATTTAGAGAACACTTCAATATCTCAACAGGAAGGCAAATAATCCAATTTTTAAATATGCAAACAGTTACTATTTCACTAAAGATGACAGCCAACAAACATATGAAGAAATGCTCAAGAGAGGCAAATGCTTAAGAGACATGAAAATCAAAACAATGATGAGATATCATCAAAGTTATTTAAAAAAAAAAACAGAAAACAACAAATGTTGGTGACAGTGTGGAAAGACTGGGGCCCTTCTACACTACTGGAGGGACTGTAAAATGGTGCAACCACTGTGGAAAATGGCAGAGCGTTTCCTCAAAAAGTTGGAAACAGAAATACTATACGACCCAGCAATTCTTCTAATTGCTATATATCCTCAAGAAATGAGAGCCATGGCACGACAGATACATGCACACCCATGTTCATTGCACTACTCACAATAGCAAAAAAGATGGGAGATAGCCTAAATGCCCGTCAACAGAAAAATGTTGAAACAAACTTTGGTACATATACACAATGGAATACTACGCAACACTGAAGAATAATGATGAATCTGCAAAACACCTCTTGACAAAGATAAACCTTTGAGGACATTATGCTGTGTGAAATTAGTCAATCACAAAGGGACAAACATTGTAAGAGACCACTGTTGTAAAAAGTTAAGAAAAGTTTTCTTGCTAAAAGATGGTTATTAGGGGTGGATGGGAAGGGAAAATTATTCACTGGGTAGAGGATTGTTGCTGTTGTTATGTGCCATGGAGTTGGTTCTGACTCATAGCAACCCTGTACAGGGTTTCCGAGGCTGTAAATTTTTACGGGAGCAGAAACCTCATCTTTCTCTCGCAGAACAACTGGTAGTTTCGATCTGCAGACCTTGTGATTCACAACCTGATTCTTAACCACTACGCTATCAGAGGGTAGACATATATTAATCTGGGTTATGGGGAAGGCAATATACAACAAGAGGGAGGCTGGTACAAGAAAGATGAAGGTAATGGAAAACACAGGGAAAAGAGCAAGAGTTAAAGTGAAGAGAGGTGAATACTGTTCACTAATAACACATGGAAGGAATTACAATCATAATGACACAAAGTTTATGACTGTTGAATATGGATGGATGATCTGTTCTGTAAGACCGTTCAACTGACAATAAAAGCTTAAAATTAAAAAAACCTACAGAGCATCTGATGGAATTCATCTATTCCACTACACTGGAAGAGGTAGCTGATTATTGTCAATGGGTCACCACATTAATTTGCTATGGCATTATGAATATGCCCTAAAATAAAAGAAAATGCTAGTCTAAAGGGAAAAAAGATACAACTGATAACCAAATAAAGATGATTTTTTCCTTAAGGGTAAAAATAGTAATCAAAAGTTCTTTACTTTCACTTATCCTTCATAAGCACCTAATTATTAACAGATCAGACTTTTATAAACAAGTTAATTTCCTATTACATGTTCAAGATTTGAAACATAATTCACGATAGTGAAAGTTCTAATAAAGTTAATCATGATTTCTTATAAAAAGACAAATTATAAATTTTTTTAAATGAAAGGAAATGATGCTAAACAATTGTAAGTACAAAGCTATGTTGAGAAGCTAAGCCTTGCTGTTTTAAAAATTGTTGTTGTTGTGAGGTGCCATCAAGTCGGAACCAACTCATAGGGACCCCATGCACAGCAGAACGAAACAATGTCCGATCCTGCGCCAACCTCACTACCGCTGCCACACTTGACGCCATCAATGATGC